AGATTTAAGAATAGTGGTATACAATTATCTTCACAAATGTGAAAACACAGAACTTTTTAAAGACAAAATGTCCGGGGAGCGATGAGCTGTAATTTTTTTGGAACAGAACAATTTTAAGCAGCGAGCTAAGTACCCATAACTTCAAAGTTAGTCGGACATAAAAAACTCCCGAAAAATTGACCACCTTGTACGAAAACCTGGAATCGTCTCACAAAGGTGTTCCTTGTGAATTTTGTTTCTATTGTCAATTTTGATAAAACATACCTGAGCGACGACCCAGGATCGAATTCGAAAGGCCATTTAACTAAAGAGATTTTAAACGAGGGACTAAACATCCAGAACACGGGATCAACTCGAGTAAAATCTGTTTTTATATCTTTAGCCGAGCAATTCTTGTATGTATATAATCTAAATCTCGGAAACTTAATGAATCAAATTACATCCAATTAAAAAAATCGAAACTTGCATAGTAAAATTTTTACTCAAACACTCGTAGACACAAAGTACACAAACCAAATTTCTAGGTATACTTATTGACCAAAACCATAATTGGAAAAAACAGGTTGCTTATGCCAAGTCTTATGTAGTCACATAATAATGATTCCCATTATTGCCTCGAAATATTAGCACATGACAATAATTGCAAATGACATTTAACAAGCCGTTTAACAACTGATTCGTTAAATTCTACCTTCATCAGTCTTTCAAAAACCAGGCGATAGGATAACAAAACTTTATCATAAATACTTTCTACTGGACGAGCATTTATTATAAATGATTAGTAACAATGAAGCCAAAAGTTTTAACATAAGCACCAACGGGAAAACAATTTCATAATAACATTCAAGAAAAATGGAAAATTTTAATAAACTGAGGTAAAATATGTTCAACATTTGTTTCAATTCAAATTCACTAGTTATGTAATATTTCAACATATGAAATAAAAAGCTATCACAGAGTTTGAAATAGAGAAACATACTGTTTAAAACATATACATTTAAATTGAAAAATTTAATCAAACCCTAAAAAATCTTTGCTTTGCTTCCTAATTGATGGCTTAGATTATTTTGTTCCCTTTAAAACTGGTTTGATTTCTGAAGAATAAGACAAATCTGTGAGACATGTTGTTTCTTGTATTATAAAATAAATTTATTTAAAATTAAATACTTTTACATATACCAATTATATCATTGAGCGGTTCTTGGACATAAAGAATTTGTCAACATTATAACCATTGATCTAATAGCTTTGTTGATTCTAATGACTATTGATAATGGATACATTATTAGATTATATAATCTATTCTAGGTACTATATGTATAATGAAAATATTAGTGGTAGCCATGCCCTGGAAAACTTTTGACCTACGTGGCCCTATCACAGTCAAGGCAGTGACAGCTAGCTTAGTTAAACATGCAATACACAGTTGCTCCGCACTGAAACATTGCAGGCAGTTACAAGTTACAATACCTGAAATAAATAATATGTATTGTAAGTCCAGGCGAAAACTAAACAGTGACCTTTGCGAAAATATGCAAAATGCGAAGCAGTTTTCATTTACTCTGAATGGATATTTTTTATTGTATTTTTAATTTGAAATTCAGAGCTTTCAGAACACAAACAATGACAGACAGACATTAGTGATT